AATTTTAAAAATGATGCAACAATATCTTTCATAACCTAAGGCAGCCTTCATTTTGGTCTATTTACTATACATTATATTCCTAAAACCCGAACACATTCTTACTTTCATTTATTCAGTCCAACCGTATCGAAATATTAGGAATATTTTCCCCTTTTGTCAGGGAATTTTAAGTTTTTTCAAATCAAGATTATTTTTTCTTGTCGATGTTTTTAAGAGTCTGGACTCTAGATCCAATGTGTTTTTTTTCCAGTGTACCTTTATTTAATGCTCCCAATATGGAACCAAGGAGGACGATAGTCTTTTTTCTATAATTCATTGGTTTGACGGGAGGGCAGTTTTCTCAAAATTGATCTTTGAAATTTTCATTGAGGCGAGTTCTTTTCTCATCGATGCACGTCTTTTTCCCTGAACTTTGAAATGCGCCTTGCCGCCTTCATAGAAAATCTTGTCCGCCATCAATCGATAAAAATTGGTTTTTTACTTTAAACACGGACTGACAGCTAAGCGCTTCTGTATAATACGGATCTAGATCTAGAATCTAGATCTTTCCCGCTTTGAAACGTTTGGATACTCGTATTCCTCGTATGGCGTTGTTCTCCAGTACGGCAGCGCCGGCAGTTGAACCAGTGAGTTCGAAAACACACCAACTCGGGTTTTTTTCGATTTTCACTTTTTTACGGTTTAGTGACTTCTATGGATAGAAGCGTCTGCACGCAAAATGAAATTTCGAAATTGCAATCAGAAGTAATCGAAACAGCGACGGGAAAAGGGAAAAATCGAAGTATTTCATTGGAAATACCAATTTTCAGCCATTTCACGGGAAACGGGTGACCATCCGATTTTGCGGTTTTCTTTTTTCGGTTCAGTATATCTCGCACCAACAAGTTCTATAGATATTCAAAAGCTTTATTCAGGTCGAAAAATTAAAGTTTTCAGGGCAGACTATGAAAAATCAGTATCTGAAAGTCGGTGAGAACGAAAACACACCAACTCGGAAATTTTTAAATGCCTAACTCTCTGTCATCAAACATGGTGTATCGATTTCAACTTGGTGCTTCACAAAGTCTCTAAGTACTCGTCCTTTGGCACCAAAAAGGTTTTTCTTAAACTATCTTCTCCGCCCGCTGCGCAGTTTCAGGTGTTTCTTTTACAATTTTTTTTCCGAGTTGGTGTGTTTTCGAACTCACTAATTCAATTGACGTCATAACCGATTTTATGTTCTGCTGCGCTTGCCACAAGTTTTTTGCGGCTTTTCTTTCTCCGAAGCGCAGAAGCGTTGCCTATGTTACGGGTAATGTAATAGCCGGGCAATGTCGGCATTAACCGCAGTCCTCCTGGGTAATGTCGATATATAACCCAAGGAAACTGAATTATTTCAATGCCGTTAATATTTAAATTCCGTTAAATTACTTTCATCTTAAATCTTCATTATTTAAAATTAATTTTCGTATTTTAAAATTTTAAAATCAATTTTTAAAATCAATTTAAATTTTTCCGTCCCTCTTTACAAACCTTGTTCAAATTGAAATAAATAAATCCACAGTATGCACATCTTTTCAATTTGATTATGAAAACCTAAAACCCCTTACTTCACTTACAAATCACCAAAAATATGTATTTTTAATCTACTTTTAGACATTAACCAGGAGGCCTAGTTAATACCGACATTACCCGTGTAACGACGACATTAACCGGCTGTATTACATTGCCCGTAACACCTACATTGATAAAAATGTTTTTTTTCTTGTGTTACTATTGGGTAATATAGGAATTTAAACACACACCAACACAAATTTCGTGTTGATTTTGGTACAGTTTGCGGAGAATTTAGCGCAAAAAAACAATGGAGATACTGGAAGGATACATTCCTCCGATTAGTATTATCCGTGTATATTGGTATCCGTTGGTAATCACCACTCGTTATTTATTAAATTTCTTCAAGAGAACTAGCCGGCATTTTGTCTTAAAATTGTCGACCTGAGGCTAGGGTAATTTTGTGTTTTACCTCCCGTATTAACCAAACTCTTGTGTTGAAATTTCTCTCTGTGCACATGTAATATGTTTTTAAACCAAAAATTACCAAACCAACGCGACACCAAAATATACTCGACGCAAAAATAAATAGTCCTTATACTAACATTAGAATACGCTAAAAGAGGTACATTATTCGTAAATTTTCATTTTTAAAATAATGCATAAATTGTATGCTTAAACTGCTTGAAATTAAAGCTGGGGATGGCTATTTTCTTAATATTCCGAGTGAGGCCCCCTGGGCTCCTCGCTCCGGGGGGGGGGGGGGGGGGGGTGCCCCCCAGACCCCCCACTTGGCATCAGAAAATGCCCCCTGCCCCCCCCTCCAACTCACTCTGGATCCGCCACTGTCACCGTGGCGAGGCGTGAATGATCGATTATCGATATTTGCCCCTTAAATCTATGGAAAAGGATCTATTATGGATCTTATTCGATAGTGGTTCGATGTATCGTTTGGTTTAACACAATAAAACATGACCTAAAACAAAAATTTTTGGATTTAAGTCGAAAAAGCTGAATATGAAGGAATTCCTAACAATTTCACTTTTCATTGCCTTTTTGTACTCATAGGAATCAAAAGTCTATTAAAAAAATGCCGGTTCCCTCAGATTACTCAAATTGACTTTTGAGGTTGTGTTTATATGTTGAACCAATCGATCGATACGATCTTACTTGTTTGATGTATCGAATACGATTCATTAAGGTGTTCATTGCGGACGCTGTTCGTCGATTCTTTTCCATAGGTTCAATTGGACGTACTTCTGTCAAACGGAACTATGTGCATTATGATGACGTGAGTCCCGATATACATATGGATTACATTTTGTAATAAGGAACCACTATTTCTGGCCCATTTTAGAAACAACATACATGCCTATGCAGATATGTACTTTTATGGGAGAGCCAGAAATAGTGGTTCCTTATTGCAAAATGTAATCCATAAATTCTTAAGGGTCTCAGGACTCATGTCTTAATGCACATAGTTCCGTTTGACGGAAATACGTCCAATTAGAAGATCAATCGATAAATCGCAGAGCACGCCACGCCACCGCTCGAGCGGCGTGCTGCCAGCGCGAGAGGCTCACTGGCGCCTACAAACCTAAGTGGATACTTCACGCATTGCACAATGCTTGAAGTATCCACTTAGGTTTGTAGGCGCCAATGCGCGTTTCGCGCTGGCCGCCCGCTCGCCGTGCGGCGGCGCCTGAAGCAACTATTTCACAACAGAGGTGTTGCACAGTATTATACGAAATTGAACGTATTAAGAATGACAGGCATCCTTTAAAAGTACAGATCTTTCCTCGCAAAATAAATCAAGATACTTATCGTACACAGGAAAAATCTAAGAGCCTTTAGCTGAGGCAAATATAGAGGTCCATCCGGTTCAGGTATAACACGGTGGGAATTTCTTGAAAGATAATTAAGTCCTGTTACACCAAAGAGGTTTAGAGAGTTTTAGTGAATTTTGTCTAATGGAATTGACGCTCCCCCATTTTTACCAAAACTCTCAACTATATATTATTCTCCGTTGGACCAAACAGACAAAACAAAAAAACAAGCAAACCCTCATTCTTCCAAAACATTATACATTTTCATCCAAAAACGTCATGAGCAAAGGTCGTTTGTATTTACATATGGGCCAATTAACTTTGGGTCTCAACTGGCACGTTGACCAAAACTCCCGTGCCGAAAAAACAGGCCTTGAAATATTTCATTGGTCGCTTTACTGTGTACCGTGGTTCCTTAAAACCCCTATATCCGATTTTCGTGGAAATTGGAGGTCACCTCAAAGAAGCATCCGAAAAATATGGTTGTACCGGTTTGTACCATTTGTGCTTTGGTATATGGTATCTCTGGGATATATGCTTCCTAAAAGTACGAAAGAAAACCGCGCAACGAACCGCAATGACACTTTCCCAGTCTACAAAATTCTGAAAAATTTATTTTTAGGGCTTATTTTGGGCAACTTTGATCTCATGCCTTGCAGCTAAAAATCAATATTTTTGGGATCTGCAAAAACGAAAATACTTGTCATACAATGAAGTTTACCAGTCAGATGCATATAATGAATGGTGTGAGGTTCACGGGTGCACTGTGAAATAAGTGACTATGCAACGCGCACCTCAGATTGTAGAGATGTGGGTTCATCACATTCCACATGCTGCATATCTATCTACGAGGAAACCGCAGATATAACGAATATTTTAGATATTCCCATGTTATTGCACTATCAATAGGTATCTGAGCATCGATTAAGATGCCTCTGATGAGGAAAAAAAATTGTCGAAAATTGAGTTTCGCGCCGCTACGGACACGATCTGGCCCATAGTGCGCTCGCTCTGTCTGGCCCCTTGAATCTCTCACATGGCCCCTTATTTTCCAACAAAATTAAAAATGGAATAAACGCATCAGCAAGTAGCATCGCTGGAATGTTTGGTTCGTATCAGGGTCGTCGAGGTGAAACACTGAAAATAAAAATTGGACGTATTTCTGCCAAACGGAACTATGTTCATTATGATGTGAGCCCTGATATACATATATTCTGATAGGTCTCAGGGCTTAGGTCTCAATGCGCATAGTTCCGTTAGGCAGAAATGCGTCCAATGCAGAACTGTCAGCGAGCGATCACGATCGGAGTCAACGCACAGGAACATTTCGTCGCTCCCCTGGCATAAGGGCGTATCTCAATTTTCACGTGAGCCCTATATTGGGTTTAAATCCCTGCTTTCTGGGGCTCATGCGGAAACAGAGATACGCCCTTACGTCAGAGGAGCGACGCTTCGCGTGCACTCACGTTCGAAGAGGGTCTCTCGGCAAAAACTGCCTTTTGCGTTGGTGACGCAGATTCGCGGTTTCGGCTCTTCCATTTCGTTCTCTCTTCGATTTTTTTCAATAAGAGAGCCCGCAAAAAGCCGGTATCGCGGGACGGAATCCCGGGTGTTCACCAGACTCTGCTCGATCGGCGGGAAGAGCGTGCCGTTGTCTGCTGTTCCTTTCCTCGACAGTTGGTGACCATTCATGTTTTCTTGGAGCACGGTTCCTCCTGAAAAAAGGTAAGTCGACGGTGCAAGTCGGCAATGGACCACTAGACAAGGTACGAATTTAAGCAATCTGATACAAGTTTCTTAACCAGAATTTCACGTAGAGCACGATTCGCACAACGAAAATTACTGAAACCAACTCCTAACGAAGATATTAACCTTTTTATTTCACATTGGGTACGAGGAATTTGAACTGCCCGCTCACACAAAACTCAAAGCTCTACGTCAGTCAAATTGCGCACCACAATAGTTTCAGCAAGCTTCTCAATCGAGCAATGTTCATTTCCCACCATGTGTTGTTCAAACTATCATCAATTTGCTAAAGCTGAGCCAAAGCGTCAAGATCGAGGTTGCCAGATTTTTATATCGCAGAGAATGTCATGATAAACGTTTAGCGCGCGATGTGAATCACGTAGAGCATTGAGTTTTCATGAGCGGGTGGTTTGAATTCACGCATTAGGAATCATTAAATATCTTTGTAAGGAGTTGATTTCGGTAATTTTCGTTGTGTGCGTCGTGTTTTACGTGAAATTTTGGTTAAGAAACATGTACCAGAATGCTAAAATTCGTACCTTATCTAGTGGTCCACTGCACAACTCAGTTTGCGATGCTGCACAGTGGATCGAGTCAATAGGAGAGGTCGGACAAAATTCGGAAACTTTAAAGGCTTATAACTCCGTTTACACAAAATTTTAAGGATGTAGTAGTGGTTTCGCTGGTTTCCTCGTGGAATTTTCCTCCTGAACCATACATTGAAATTTAAAATGTGACGAATTAAATACAAAAATTTGCAGGTGTGGTCAAAAATTTCATATCCGACCTCTCTGATTGACTCGATCCACTGTGCGTTGCAGACTTCCTGTCATACTTCATTTTATAAACGGAAAACTACTCAACAGCAATTCTTTCAAGCTGCCGTGATTTTCCTTCTCTGTGCGAAGAAAATTCTGTAGAAACTTCAAGGAATGATGTCAATTTGCTCTCCTTTAGAAAAATAATTTCGGATTAATACTTTTTGTAGTTGTCTACTTTACTAATAATGATAATAATAATGACCTGCACACCTGTAATATCACTAGATCTTTCCTAAGCTCAGGGCAGTGACTGTATTTTTATTTTTAATTGTGTGACCGACTGCTAACCTAGTGGTTTATGTTCTTTTATTTTAACAATTTTTTTTAACTTTCTAATAACGTTTTACGATTTTAACAACATTTTTCGATTTTAACACCTTTTTACGATTTTAACATTCAAGTTTTAGCAATTTTAAATCAAATTTTAGCAATTTTTTAATCAAATTTTAGCAGTTTTAAATCAAATTTTAGCGTTTTTTTAAACTAGATTTTAGCAATTTTTAAAGGCTCTAGCTTTGAAAGACTTGGCTACGGTCCGTCTTTCAATGAGTTTCTTTCCACAAACGTATTTTTGTGAGAAAAGTACTTCTGTATAATAGTAATAAAAAAGAGGAAAAATAACATAGAGAAGGAGATTTTTAGACACCTCAAACGAGATATGCGATTGCGGACTCACACCGTCGAAGTATTGAACCTCTTTTGGTCGAGCAAAATCACGTTTAAACTAAATGAGTGTTTCAAGATCACCTTAAGAAAATTTGTCGACATCTCTATTGATAATCAACAGTGTCGGTCTGGCGAGAAAATTTTTGGGGGTGATGCTACGTTTTCGGGGCCCCTTCTCTCGGATGAGAGCCACCCAATCGAGCTTCAAGGCTTCCTTTACGTGGGGTTTTCAAGTTTTGGGGGCGCCTAGAGGAGTTGCTGGGGCTCCTTGATCGAGCCGCTTTGTCAGAATTTCTGTGTTGCTCAAGCATCCTCGCAACCCCGGTCAGGCCGCTCCTTATAATCAGGGTAGCTGCTAATAGCAATTTTATGATTCAGCTCCTTGCGCCGCGTGGAAATATTTCTTTGTTTTGTATTTTCTGATGCAGAAGCTCAAAAATTAAATATGATGCAAGAATCTCTGAAATTAACTCATAAGAAAATTCCGTACAGTAATCAGCCAACAAATGTTGTCTTGCGTTAATTTACCTAAAAAAAGAGAGAAAAAAGAGAAAAAAGAGAAAAAAGAAAAAAAGAAAAAAAGAAAAAAAGAAAAAAAGAAAAAAAGAAAAAAAGAAAAAAAGAAAAAAAGAAAAAAAGAAAAAAAGAAAAAAAGAAAAAAGAAAAAAAGAAAAAAAAAGAAAAAAAGAAAAAAAGAAAAAAAGAAAAAAAGAGAAAAAAGATCCTCTTATGGTCTCTCCTGAAGTATGGAGAAGCGTTGAGCCCGAGTTTGACCCTCACTTACCTCTGACATTCCCTCGTTTTTTAGGAGGTCCGATATTTCCGGACCTATAGCTTTCCAGACTGTTCTCACTTTCAAGGATATTTAAAACATCTTCCGCATGTTCGATACAACGATTCTTGTGTATTTCAAGCTGAAAACCTCGAATATGGCCTCAGAAATTCGTCATCAACCACTATTTTAAGAAGAAAAGTTCATTTTCTGGGAAAATTATCGCAAAAATACCAATAAACTCTCTCTTCGAGAAAAATCTACTCTTCCGGCAAATGGTGGAAAAAATTGGAGGTGATATTCGAATTCAGCATTCTAAAATACGTAAGTACCTCTGTATCATGGATTCAGAAAAATTAATTAAAAAGATATTGCATGTCAGACAAAAATAAGTCAATTTTGCACATTTGTCTGGGGAAAAGTGTCTAATCTAGAAAACAGAGGGGCGACAGCAATGAATGGATGCCATTTTCGGATTCAGAGATATAATACATAAGTGATGACCTATTTTGTACCTGAGAAAAATGTCACTTACATTTACTTTGTACACGGAGTAACAGTCGCGATAACAACGGAAACGGCCAAAAATACCCTTTTAGCCAAAGGTTCGGGTTTTCCAGAAAAATGGTAGGTGATCACGAATTTCTGAGGCCACATGAGGGTTTCTGGCTTAAATTATTTGACAGAGAGATGCTTCTGTATTTTAGAATGCTGAATCCAAATATGACCTCAAATTTTTCCCATCATTTGCCGGAAAAGTGGATTTTTCTCGGAGAACGAGTTTTCCGCTGTTTTTGAGACAATTTTCGTAGACCGTAGAAAATGGACTTTTCTCTGAAAATAGCGAGTAATAACGAATTTCTGAGGCCATATTCGGGGGGCAATCAGCTTGAAATACACAAGAATCGATGGATCAAACACGGCGAAAATGTTTCAAATTTCCCTGGAATTGGAAACAGTCCAGGAACTGAAAAATCAGACCTTCTAGAAATAACGATTCGACGTCGAACTCGAGTTCTGTGCTGCCGTGCTAAGGAAAAACGCCGAATAAACCTTCAGAAGTTGCCGACTTTCCTTTGACAAAACGCGTATTTTCTAGTAAACTTATGACCATTTTCCTCCCAATTTTTCAGGTAGTTTTGTTCGCAATTTCACCTAAAGATTCTGAAAATTTGAAGGAAATGTATTTATAACTTTCCTCAAAAATAATCATTTTATCGAAGTAAATTTGGCAACTTTCAAATGGACCGCGTTAAACAGAAAGGAACCAAGCCACATCGGCCATTGCCAAATTTAATCGAGCAATTTAATTTTTTACATGAAAACTGATGTACGGATTTTCGTGCAAATTTCAGTGGATTTTCTCTACAGTACAAAGCAAATTTCTTAAAATTTTCAAAGGAATCCACACAAACATTCTCTCGTAAAAAATTAAATTGCCCAGTTAAATTTGGCAATAGCTGATGTGGCTTGGTTCCTTTCTGTTAAACGCGGTCCAAATGTTCATGCGGTGTTCTTCCTTGGCACGGCAGGGAGGCTCTCAATATATCAAGAGGGATCTAAAAAGGATCTCGGCAAATTTTTGAAACTCCTCAGAACATAAAAATCGTCACAAAAATACCAATAAATCCCGTTTTCCGAGGAAAATCGACTTTCCCGGAAATGAGGGGGGGGATAGTAATGGTTGGTGATAAGAAAAATCTGAGAGCATATGCGGAATCAGCCGATCAAATACGCATAGATAGATGGGTCATACATCGGGGGCATTCTCCGCAAAACCCGTATTTTTGTATGTATTTTTTACCCCCGTGTATTGTATGTATTTTTTATACCCGTTCTCCGAGAAAACCCGTGTGAATAAATAAACTAGATATTTTCAGTAAGTACTTAATGAAGCTAGAACAATTCTGAAAACGCCGTGAAGTAGCTCAATTTCTCAGCATTTTAAGAAAGTTTTTCTGGCTGAGGCGATCGCTCGCTAAAAATCACATTCCATGGCATCCTGCTCATATCTTCATTCACCTTTATTCTGGACCCAAAGACGTACCTCCCCATCCTATTGTTTGTTTGTACGAAGTTTCTTTCAGCATTCATACATTCATTTGTTAAACTGACAGTTTCGAAACAGCTTTGGTCGTACCGCTTCGAGTCCGGCGCACCCGAACGATTGAATGATTGACCGTATGACCTAATTCAACAGTTCTGCGCTCATCTCCTTGTTTTAAAGTTTTGGTTTCAGTATTTTCTCCTGCTGAGAATGAGCGAGTAATTTAGCCAAAACGTCCTGCCGGTGTTTTCGTTTTATTTCAGCTTTACAGTCCTTTTTTCTGGATTTTCTCTCTTCCATCGTTGATTTGAAATCCCACAAACCTTTTATTTCTACCCGCTTATTTATTTCAATCATCCTAAAAAAAAACTGCCGGATCGCTAATTCAAAACCTAACTGAGACACAGTTTAACTATGCAATCAAAACAATAAGAAAATATCAAGGGAAAGCGGTCACCGCAGGCGTGGAGGCTACTGCAATTTTATTCTTCCGTCGGTCACATTTGTAAGGCGCAATGATACAACTATACGTACTCTCCGGAATGCGGGAGGTATCACGCCGCACTTGAAGGCGTTTTTTAAACTGACTGTTTGCGGGACCGCTTTGGTCGTACCGCTTCGAGTCCGGCGCACCCGAACGATTGAATGATTGACCGTATGACCTTATTCAACAGTTCTGCGCTCATCTCCTTGTTTTAAAGTTTTGGTTTCAGCATTTTCTCCTGCTGAGAACGAGCGAGTAATTTAGCCAAAACGTCCTGCCGGTGTTTTCGTTTTATTTCAGCTTTACTGTCCTTTTTTCTGGATTTTCTCTCTTCCATCGTTGATTTGAAATCCCACAAACCTTTTATTTCTACCCGCTTATTTATTTCAATCATCCTAAAAAAACTGCCGGATCGCTAATTCAAAACCTAACTGAGACACAGTTTAACTATGCAATCAAAACTATGAAAAAATATGAAGGGAAAGCGGTCACCGCAGGCGTGGAGGCTTCTGCAATTCATTCTTCCGTCGGTCACATTTTTAAGGCGCAATGATACAACTACGGACTCTCCGGAATGCGGGAGGTATCACGCCGCACTTGAAGGCGTTTTTAAGCGTGCCAGTAAAGCTCGCTTTTTGAAATCACTCGCTTCTAGCATAGAGCAGCACATACCGATCAACCCATGCTATTCAACGGCCGTCCAAATATTTTTTTCCGCGCACCCGTTTACTTGTCTTTGAACCGTTATACTGTCAAGTCTACTACTGTCAAGTATACTATCAAAGAATTGCTGATCGCAAACCCTTGAGAACATTTTCTTGTCAAAACCGTATTATTTCATTTGACATAACCTTATATAAGCTCTTCTACGGTAGAACGACTCGAATCTGGAAGCTGCTTTTCCGGCACAACTTTTTAGCCAATCAGCGTCTTGCGCTGTACGTGCAATCTGTGATGAGCCTCGTGACTCATTAGACCATGTGCTAGCCGTGGCCCAAATAGAAATTCTCTTAAACCACTGCAGTGAAGTATAGACCGGTTATAGAATATCAATGTCGGGTTTTGAACCGCCGCTCGCCCCATGCGTCGACCCTTATCTTTCTCGCTCGATTAAGTATTCACCGTGACGCCAGGATCCACCAAATTTTCAAAAGACAATTTTCCGTTTATTTAGCGAGTGTTTCCTTACTCTCCGTTAAAATACAAATCAAAGAGTCCTCATTTGTAAAGATCGGCCGAATAGAGGAGAGGTTACGGCTCGAAATCCAAAGATACTGACAAAAACTCCATTTCTCAACACAAAAAATCAAGAATTCCTTCTAAGAATTCTGATCTGAAGGCAAGAGTGGAATAGAAGACGTACATCATAGAATACACAGTATGCGGTATGAACGAGTTTAAATTGTTTAATCTACCACAATCAAAAACTCTTTGGATTCTTGAACTACAGTGTCTCTTGAGTCATTTAAGCCCCCAAAAAAAATTCTGTTGAGGTCTTGCATAAAAAAAGGCGTTTTGAAAGTATTTTGGGGTTATAATAGCTAAATCACCGGTACCTAGTAAATCCCGTTATATTATTGAAAATAAATTAACTCGATAGTTCAATTCCGGAGTTTCTTGAATACGATTATGTTAAGCACTCGATCACCTATGCTACCCATTTCAGCCATGTGGTGATCTCCTGAGAGCTGATAATTGAAGGAATTTCTCATAGAACCTTCCACAAATGGCCTGCTTTTTAGGCAGCCGATTCGGCCATCGAATCGATGAAAATTTAGTTCCAGCACGAAATTATGATGAAAACGCACTAAAATTCCGTCCAATGGAGATGTTGCGTGTGTGAGGGATTTGCGATTTGACTGTTAATTCTTATGTAAAAGTTCGCGAGAAACACGATGGTGCCACTGGTTTTCTCTGAAATCATCTCCCAAGCTCAAAAAAAGCTCTTAAAGTGAGGCCAAAATGGAGGGAATATCCCACCCTACCCTGAGAGTCCGCTTCTACATCAAGACAAACTCTCCATGCAAAGATAGGGAGCAAATACATTGACAGGGCTGCCACTTCATTTGGGGACTCCAAAACTGAAAACACGGCAACCCTGCTAATGTATTTGCTCCCTATGTTTGTATGGAGAGTTTGTCTTGATGTAGAGGTGGACTCTCAGGGTAGGGCGGGATATCCCCTCCATTTTGGCCTCACTTTGAGTGCTTTTTTTGAGCTTGGGAGTTGATTTCAGAGAAAACCAGTAGCACCATCGTGTTTCTCGCGAACTTTTACATAAGAATTAACAGTCAAATCGCAAATCCCTCACACAAGCAACATCTCCATTGTCTTGATTTTAAGCTGATGCACGGCAGTTCGCCCAAATCGCGGTCGTGCGTAAATGCCGCATATCAGCTTAAAATCAAGATAGTTGGACGGAATCTTTAAAATTAATTCACATTCAAAGTTCACGAATCAATATTTTCTCCCAAAGGATGTGTCCCATTGGAGGGTATTTTGGTCTAACTTCGGTCGAAAATTGAAACAGCTCAGAATAATGTCATGTATGGTCGAATCGACTCTTAATCATCTACCCTGTGAGAACTTGTCCTCATTTGAGGTGTTTTTGAAAGGTTTCTGCCTGATTTATCAGCGCAAAGTGGTGAAGTTTTGCAGTTTTCTCGAATAATTGCTCATTTTCGGTCCTAAATTAGATTGTTCACCTATGTATGAGCGCAAGCGACTACCACTTTCTCTTTTAAATATACCCTCAAACCTATTGGGCCAAAAAACCCCTCTTAATGGGACACATCCTTTGGCAAAAAGTACCGATTGATACAAATAGCAATGACATGAAAATAGTATTTGTTAGAGTCCCTTTATACTGAGAGTCAAGACAATTTGAATCCATTTCTGATTGGTTCCCGTATTTTAGGCCTTCACAGTGTCACAAAAGGGAATAAAGATTACAGTTTCACCGATTGCAAAGATTATAATCTGGAATGGACCGGGGAATTACGGGTTCGGCAAGGAACAAACGGAATGAGGGAAGGAACGAAGAAAGGAATTCGAGAATGGACCGATCAAAGATTACGAAAAACGTTCAATTTCTGTAATCTTTATTCCCGTTTGTGACTCCATGAAGGGTGTTGTCTTGACTCTTAGTATAAAGGGACTCTAGTATATGTTCAAAAATTCAGTTATTCGGCACACTTTTCCAACAAATTCATGTTGCGTTTTCCTTTCTTGTTTGTTTCTAGATGAAGTTCGCTGAAGCACTGGCGATGGCTCTGTGGCTAAGCCTCTTTGCACAAATTCGCTGTGATTATTTCATAGAAATTGCGAAGCAGGACTCGGAGAAGGTCAAACATGAACTTGAGAGCGATTCAGAATCGGAGATAGCGGGCGGGCCGTATGTTTGTAAAACTGTGACCTACACGGGCAAGAACGTCAAGGTACGATGGAACCTTATTTGGACGTATTTCTACCAAACAGACCTATGTGGAGGTGAGAAATATGGGGTGTGCTCGTGGAAGCTGCATAAGAAGCAATGTAAAAGTGTGCGTGATTCCTTTTGAAGAATTGGAAAAGCGGGATATTGCATTCGATCAAAGAGACCTATGTGCAACTGAATGCGGAACTCATGAGCCGCGGGGATGGCAAGAGAGCCTTGTGGACAGGGCTCATGAGTTACAGCGCCCCGCCATCTCCGTCCGGGCTTCATCATTGCGCTGACGTCACTGGCGCTTTATCATTCTCATTCACTCTTACGCAAAGAGAACTAACGAGCACACCCCATATTTCTCACTTGCACATAGGTCTGTTTGGTAGAAATACGTCCATTTTATCGGCCACCGGAGAATGAATGAGACCTAGCACCCAAGTAGCACAGTGCAACGAAAACACTGAAATCGAATCGCAATTTGATTCCAATAAAATGGTAGTGTTTTTACCCTTGAATGGACCAGTAGACAAGGCAAGACTTTCAACATTCTGATACACGTTTCACAATTAAAATTTCACGTAGAACACGATGCGCGCAACGAAAATTACCGAAATCAACTACTTACGAAGATATTTAATGATTCTTGATGCGTGAATTCAAACCACCCGCTCATGAAAACTCAATGCTCTACGTGACTCACATCGCGCGCTAAACGTTATCATGACAGTCTCTGCGATATAAAAATCTGGCGATTTCAATCTTGACGCTTTGGCTCAGCTACAGCAAACTGCTAATAGTTTGAACAACCCATGGTGGGAAATGAACATCGCTCGATTGAGAAGCTTGCTGAAACCGTTGTAGTCCACGATTTGACTCACGTAGAGCTTTGAGTTTCTTATGAGCGGACAGTTCAAATTCCTCATATCCAATGTGAAATGAAAACGTTAATATCTTTGTCAGAAGTTGATTGTGGTTATTTACGTTGCGCAAATCGTGTTCTACGTGAAATGCTGGTCAAGAAACATGTATCAGAATACTTAAATTTGTACCTTGTCTAGTGGTCCATTGCAATATTTTTACATCATTTAGTCGATTACTGGCGATTTTAAACAATCAACAAAGTGAGCTCCATGTGTCGGAGAGATAGGCAATATGCAATGCGATGAAAAATTGCAACTTATTTCAATGTCATTGCAATAAGTTTCAATAAACGGGTCCCCTTCAAATAGGAGCTAGGCAGCATACACAGCACTCAGTGGAATTGCAATCTGTGCTACTTGGGCAGTCACGCATATCTTTGTGCGGCGAGTTGTGGAAAAAGACCTACCTCTCAAGCAGCATTTTTCAACGGGAAAATTGCGAATTATTCTGAAATTAATTTGCGATTTGTTTACGACTTTCGGCGCCGTAAAATCGCTGGGATCATCAACGCCTAAATCATCCTCTATCATGTCGCAATTCTATCTCTAAAAATAGCGTTTGGCAAACTCAACATTCCATCTCAATTTATCACGTTTTTTCCCGGATAGTATTGCCGTAAGTCGCCGTCGATAAAATCGCGATTTGGCTTCAAATTCATGCGATGAAATGACGATAATCGCAATTTTTATACGATAATATTGAAATAAATCGACGTCGCTAAAATCGCGATAGATTTTTCGACAAATTATAGAGTTTTTGATCAAATTATAGATTTTTCGATCGCAATCACCTGTTTCGGTACAATCAATAATTTTTCAGATTGCTCATGAGAAGAGTGTCCCAGGACGGTGGGGTGGGATACAATTTTCCGGTCAGAAGCTTCCGAGACCGTTTTCTCAAAACTTCATTTTTGCACTTACTGCTCTCTTCGCTATCACGGCGGAGCTGGAAGTTCGAGAAGTTTGAGAAAATTGCTGGAAAACCGCAATCTTCATTTACTGTAGAAGATCCAGGACATCTGAAACCTAGTAAAATTCCCCTTCTAAATTTGAGATTTTAATATTTTTGAGGCTATGAGTCAATTGGGCGCTAATCAGCAAGGACCTTGTAAAAACATTACGCCTGCGCAGATTGCCAAAGTTTGCATGGAGTTTGAAGCTGAGGAAGAAGGTCATATACGATCTGTTTGGTGGGCTGCAGATTTGCAGAAAAAGAAAGAGAGGGACACGAGTTGACGAATGATGCCAGACGAATGATGACGAATGATGCCAGACGAATGATGACGAATGATGCCAGACAAATGATGACGAATGATGATTCAGTTGCCAAATTTCCTTCGATAAAACGTTTATTTTTGAGGACAGCTGTGAATATTTTTCCTTGAAATTTTCAGAAACTTTAGGCGAACTTGCGAACAAAATTATACGAGAAATCGGAAGAAAAATATTTACGGATTTTTCCAATAATTCGTGATTTACTGAAGGGAATTTGGCAACGCCTGAGAGTTTGTACGGCGTTTCTCCTTAACACGGCAGAGAGCTTGTGCTGTCAAGCACGCAGAATGACAAAAGACAAGGAGGCCTGTCCAGAGACCAAGGGCGTCTACAGGACACTACCGTGATAGGGAAGGAAGCAAAAAGTGCAAAAATGAAGTTTTGAAAAACAGGCTCAGAAGCCTCTGACCGAAAAATTGTACCTATTGAAAGAAGCGTCCGTTCTTTGTCGAAAGGCCACAAATCGTCCGAAAGACTCCCAGAAGGCGTCTGGATGATTTAAAAATCGACTGATTTTATTTCAATTACATGAAAAGGGTAGTTTTCATTTTAAAGCTAGATTATTATAAGGCAAGACATCTGTAAGTGCTATCCTTTGCATGCTTTCGTTGTTGCGTTTTGGACACAAAACAAACGCATTTTCAGGTTAGAAATTGGCAGAAGAGGGCGGCACTTTACTTGAAAGCACTGTCTTCATTGGTTCTCTAGAGGAATAATGTCATTTACGGCTGTCTTGCCTAAAACTACGTCATTTTTTGCACTCTTGCAGCTTTCTCATACGTCTCGTTTTCAAACGGTTGTGATGAATTTCGCTGTTTTAGCAATTTCATTGATCTCATCTAAGAGAGTTTCCCTGCTAAAAATGGTGAGTACAAATGAGTAGAAAATCAAAGTCATATGAATAGAATTTCAATTCATATGAATAGAATTTCAACTCACGTGAATAGAACTTCAACTTAAATGAATAGAATTTAACTCATATGAGCAGAATTTCTCTATTCACTTTTCGCCGACTCATATGACTAGAGATTCCAACTCATATGACTAGAGATTTCAACTCACATGAGTTCAGCGTGTAATCTACCGTGTCCGATATCTCACAAACTAGTCACCGCATCAAAAAAATTACAAGAACACAATGTTCTTATTTTTCAAAGTTACATGTAATGTCGGTGTGTCCTGGTCAAAAACACCACTTCTGAAAAATTAAAAAAATTGAATTCATATGAGTTGAACTTTTCTACTCTTATGAGTAGAATATTCTAGTGATATGAGTAGGATTTCTACTCATATAAGTAGGAAATTCTACTAATGTGAGTCGGCGAATTCTGAATAGCCTACTCATCATTTTTAGCAGGGTTAGACGAACTTTAAAGGAAATCAAAGTTCGAAAATTTGTCACTTACTGCTCTCTTCGCTATCACGGCAGGACAGACAAGGTTCCATACAACGGTTAGACCGGTGGGGAGGGCAATTCAAACATAACAGAAATCGCGATTTTGATGCACATTTATGCGATGGAACGGCAATTTATTGCAATTTTCATCCGGTAATATTGAAATGATTCGACGTCGATAAAATTGCGGTACCTTCTCCGATCAAGTCGCGACTTATTGCGATCACTGCTCCTTGAGAAGTAGTCCATCGCATTGCCTAGAATAACCGTACATGTGTAACATATTCTTTTATTTAATGCGTTTCAGTATGTAGAGGAATGCAAGAGCATTAGAAAGGAGGCGACAACATATGTGGAAGAAAAAAAAAAGAGACATTCTATCAAAGGTAAGGCGCTAAGGAAGGTACAATTACTGTCGCACGTGTTCAGACAGGATGCCATGAGGCAATATCTGCATGCAAACTTCATCATGATAGGAGAAGCTCAATTGAGAGCCCATCAGTGGCTTAAGTTGGACGGCATAAGTGTGAAAAGAGCTCCTTCGGTGATTCTAGTGGGCTACCATCAGAGTACTCTCGATTCCCCACGGTTCCTCCCTAAAGATACCTGCGACACTACCGCCGACCTTGCCAACTCCCCTGTGTTTGAGGGGTACCTCCCTGAAGATGAAGAAAGAAGAGACGATCACATTAGGGCACTCACGGGATTATTCTGCTGCTCGGACGTGCCTTCATGCTACCCAAACTACGAGCATGTTCTAAAGAAGGGGTATCTCTCCGCTCTCTGGTACATCATGAATACTGCCTTGACGAATGCAAGGGAATTTGTGGTGGACACACAGGTAGAAGCAGGCGCAATCAACCAGGGAACTCTGGAAAGATACAAATCATTCTCCTATGATGCGGAGAAAGCCACGGAAGTGAAAGGAGGAGGAGCAAAAGACGGGAAGAAGCTGAGCAAGTCGGATTCAGTGGGCAGCGTGAGTAGATCACCCTCATTTCACATTAAGGTGCACGGAAAAACGAGTTTAGGGTTGGGACCTACAAGTTAGTGCTGGACACTAACGAGGGTTAGGTCAAATGGAGCCACCTACTCCGAGTAGTGCTAGACACTAAACAGTTCGAGGCTGGGTCACTAAGGAAATAGTAGTGTCCAACCCTACAGTGATTTTGGCGAGCGTAAAATATGAAGCGCCTCCGCCTGGGATTAAACCTGAGTTGCACTGATGGTAGACCAGCGCGTTACCACCAGGCTATAGCGGCTTGTAAATCGTGGGAGCGAATTCACACCTGTTAAGCGCAACTGCGTATCGCGGCATCTGATTGGCACTATACTGGTGTTCACTTCCGACCTCTACTACCTTCCTGTGTTGAGCTCAAAGACATAAAGACGGAGGGCTAAAAGCAAAAAATGAAGCTTCTTTTCAACCACCTCTACTATTGGCTAGAGGATTGGCGGCGAAACCGGGACAAGTTTGAAATTCAAATGTAGGGCGGGAACTAAATAAAATTGCGGAAACAAAGTATTCTAGGTTGATTTTTGCCCAAATTCACTTACCCACTCATATTTTTTTAGCTTTAGGTTAGCTTTGGTCCGTCGTCGACAGATTAATTTCATTTGGGAGTAACGGTCATATAGAACTGTAACGGCCTGTTTGAACCTGCAGAACCACCATGAGCAGAAGGAAAACTAACTTTATCTGAGATTACTGCCTGTTACCGAGCAAAAGTAGGTGTATTATAGCAGGACGCAGTCCCAACTTTCTTAATATATTCGTTTTAGGCATTTAAAATACGTTTCGAAGAAGAAATGTGGAAAAATCAAGAGGACAAGTTGAAATCAAATTTCTGTTTGCCGCCATGGATTCCCGCGCTCATTTACACACTCACACAAGCACCCAGCGCCAAACCAGGCTTCACTTTTTCCCCGTGCTTTTAGATACGAGCACTCCGTCTTTATGTCTTTGGTTGAGCTGTACAGCGCTTAGACGCCAGCCCTCAACTGCTCACCACTAAACGGCCAGTAGTGCTCAACACTAATCTAGTTTTTTCCGTGTGATCCGTCAAGCTCTCTCACGTGGTCTAGAGTCCCCTTATACTGAGAGTTAAGACAACCCCCCTTCGTGGAGTCACAAACGGGAATAAAGATTGCATAAATTGATAGTCAGTTCCGTGAAAATTTGTCGCCACCACCGGGATTCGAACCCGGGACCTATTGGTCTAGAGTTAGACGCGTGGACCGCTAGGCCAACCTGGCCGGGAAACCTTTATTCTCATCTCTGTGAATGAGTGGCCAAACCAGAGTCCCTTTATAGAGAGAGTTGAGACAACGCGACTTATGGATGTCACCAGCGAGAATGAAGATTACACAAATCGGACGTTTTTTGTAATCTCTGATCAACCCATTTCCGAATTCCTGTCTCCGTTCCCTCTCTCATTCCATGTGTTCCTTGCCGTACCCCCAATACGACCCCAAATACAATGTCCCGGTCCATTCCAGTTTATAATCTTTGCTATTGGTAAAGCCGTAATATTTTTTCCCGTTTGTGATACTGCGAAGGCCTAAAACACGGGAACCAATCAGAAATGGATTCGCATTGTCTATACTCTCAGTATAAAGGGACTCTAACGTGGTCAAACTGGCGTGTGATACACTGCATCGATTAATTCAAAAGTCTCGGCAGATTTTGAATTTTTAGCCCAAAAAAAAGGACGACAGCCCCTGCTCATAAGCTTAAAGAACCATCTTAAAACTAAAAAATTTGAAAAGCTCAGAGAAATGAAAAAAGAATTTTCTTTGGATAAAAACCTCGCTTTCGATATAGATTTCAATAATTGTATAGAATGCGATGTATTTTCCAAACAGGAATCTGTTCTGTATCTGTTGGATTTTTCATAGTTTGAATGGAGAGGAGGGTAGTAGTGTCTAGAGGGGTAAGTAGTGTTCAGTGGCGTGGCGTGAATTGCGATGTATCGATTCGTATGCCATTTAAATTTATGGTAAAGAATCGATTGTTAAGGTGTTCGCTGCGAACACCCTGTTTATCGATCCTTTTTCATAGGTTTAAATGGAATAACAATCGATATATCGCAATTCACGCCACGCCACTGGTAGTGTTCTGCCCCAACTGGCTCTGTTGTGGCCGCACTTGTTCGGGCTCTGCACTTGATTTAAATGAAATTGACCAAAACCAAATCTTTTTTCCAATTGATTGATATTTGGACTGCATTTTGCAATTTGGAACTATAGATTCTGGCTCATCTGAAAAAACACTTATGTGCATAGGGAAACCAATGGCACATGCGTTTTTTTTAAACCGGGCCAGAATCTATAGTTCCAAATTGCAAACTGCAGTCCATTTTCTCGGACATTCATTGGCTGTTTAAGACACCATCCGGCGGATTTAAAATGTCAAACTTCCAGGTCACGTACCCCTATTCCTATTTCTTTATAGTTATTCTCGCCATAAAACTCAAAATTTAAAAACATGCACACGCGCCCTTTTTCCATAACGACGCTGAAAGTGAAACTACAAAGATGCGAATTTCAGTCGCGGTATTTCGAAATCTCCGCTACTATTTCATATTTTCAAAGGAGGGCGAACCAACATCATAGTCTAAAGTTTCCAAAGAACATTCTCTATGAAGCACAGAAAAATCACTAAAATTATCAAAAAATGACGCTCAGTAGTTTTCCGCGTAGAAAAGAAACAAGACAACGGTTCCAACGTTAAGACAACGGTTCCAACGTTAAGACGTTGGAGAGCGTTCACCGTAGCACCTCGTCAATATGTAAAAGTGCACTGAAAAAAAAAATATTGCTGAATTTGCCGTAGACGCTGGTATTTAATAGTATGGTGTAGCTAAAAAACGGACGTGCAAACCATGCAGGTAAAATCGCTATTCCAATTTCAGCTAACTTACACACACGCGTGTAGGTGATTTTGCTCTCTGAAAAGCTACGTCTGTTACCTTTTTAGTTATTCTCCCATAAATTTCGCATTTTTTTGTAAAATTGTAATTATTTTGAAACGTTCCGGGTTTCGTTTATTCCTTTTCTTTATTTGCAGCCTTTTCCCCAAATTAAGTTGTTCTTTTCGCATTTTTTCCGTGAATTCCACTATTTCAGCCTAACTATTGAGCTATTTTTACTGTTCGCAAAGTACCGCAATACCAAAAAATTCAGTTACACTTCCAAGCCACTCGATGCAAGATTAACTGCATGAAGGCGCGCAGATGTAGCAAATCGGTGTAGCAATTCGTGCTAGTCGTTCACTTGATTCAAGATCGTGCACGGATAAGAAAGCTTTACGAAGTGAAGCAAATTTTGTTCCACCCTAAATCGGTGAATTAGCAATCCTTTTTTTTCAGTGTATAGTTTTTATAGGAGGATTGAAAACAAACAAATGGTAGGAAATAAAACATAATAATAAGAACCTTGCAAAACGATAATCCGGGTATCGGAACTTGGCTGTCTTGAAAACGCCTTCAAATGCGGCGTGATACCACACAAATTCCGGAGAGTTCAAAAAGTTGTATCATTGCGCCTTAGAAATGCGACGGCAGATTAAAATTGAAATAGCCTCCATACACGCTGGGCTTGTGAATTTCCTTTGACATTTTTGCAGTGGTGAATGCATAGCTGAAGTGCGCTCCAGCTAGAATTGTATTTAGCAAATGGGTGGTTTTTATACGAGGATTAAAAATAAACAAGTGGTACGGAACAAAACAAAAGAATATGAACTATTCAAAACGATAATCCGGGTATCGGAACTTGGCTGTCTTAAAAACGCCTTCAAATGCGGCGTGATACCTCACGCATTCCGGAGAGTTCAAATAGTTGTACCATTGCGCCTTAGAAATGCGACGCAGATTACAATTGAAATAGCCTCCATACACGCTGGGCTTGTGAATTTCCTTTGACATTTTTGCAGTGGTGAATGCATAGCTGAAGTGCGCTCAAGCTAGAATTGTATTTAGCAAATGGGTGGTTTTTATACGAGGATTAAAAATAAACAAGTGGTACGGAACAAAACAAAAGAATATGAACTATTCAAAACGATAATCCGGGTATCGGAACTTGGCTGTCTTGAAAACGCCTTCAAATGCGGCGTGATACCTCACACATTTCGGATAGTTCAAATAGTTGTATCACTGCGCCTTAGAAATGCGACGGCATGCGGCAGATTAAAATTGAAATAGCCTCCATACAAGCTGGGCTTGTCAATGTCCTTTGACATTTTTGCAGTGGTGAATGCATAGCTGAAGTGCGTTCCAGCTAGAAGTGTATTCAGCAAACAAGTGGTTTTGCGCGGACGGATGGGAGCGCTGCAAGTCGCTGTTGAACTAAACGTGGAGCGTAACCTAGGAAACATACATAGGTATATACAAGAAATGTCCTGTCATCATAGAGTAAAACAAGCAGTTCCAACGCCAAAGCGTTGGAGGGCGCTTCTTTAACACTGTGCATGCGAGGAACGTTTTCATACGGCCAAGTGAGAGTATTGCGGACGGACGATGTATAACAAATTGCCTACGTGAAGGTGGTCCGGCAGCAACATACCCGCCGCTAGTCTCTGGAAAACAATAGAAAATAGTAGTTGCGTACGTTGCCAGCGAGCGCGCTGCGAGCGCATCTGTTTCAATTACCTAGCATCGAGTCGGGCCTCTAACTTTCTATTCTCTCTGACATAACCTTAAACCTTCAACCCAGAGCCGCCCAACCCAGTGACGCTTGACGATGCTGCGCCGAGAAAATGAACCAATCACACAATAGCACAGTAATACGTCACTAAAATGAAGAGATCACGTGACTGTTCGTGATTTTTTCGAATCAATCTGAAACTACAACCTCGAATATGAGGCATTTAAGCATAACGAAGCCCCAAAATAGTTTAACCAGGTAATACGTCCGTGCGAGATTGTTATGCTTAAAAGCAAAACATTTCACGAAAACTTTTACGAAT